CGAAAATCTTTTTACTCATCGGATAAATAAATTTTGAACCGACTCTACATGCATTAAGTCGAATTAAAACAACTATGAATACTCTAAAAAGAGTTCGTGTCCTTAGCTTATTGCTGCTGAGATACTGCAATATAACGTCAGTTTTTAAATGGTTGCTATGCTCTCCTCAGAAACATCAGGAAAACGGTTTTTTTTTAATTTCGATTTGAAACTTTGTACAGAGGCAGTTTTCAACGAGAAGAGTTTTTCACTGATATAGTTTATAACAAAAGATTCGGATAGAAGCAAATAAGAAGCTCTGACATTTTCACAATAAACTACTCTTGTGATGCCCTATCTCTACACAAATTTTCAAGTCAAAACTCGTAAATGAGTTTTTCCTGGTGTCCTTATGCGGGACTATGATATTTATTTAACAACTACGGTAAAATTTGTAGTAACTACACAGCAATAAGATAAAGGTCTAAACTCATTAGGATCTACATAATGCACATAGTCTTAACTCAAAAAGTGATTAATCAGTTAGTAAATTTGTCTCGTCAGTCTTGTCATAAGAATAAATTTATTTACATACAGATAAAACTTGTTAAAAAAATAAATTTACCTTGGTATAAAATCTACACCTTGTTGCATGAAAGCCGCCAAAGCAAAAAAGAGTGTATTTAGAATAGAAAATTTATTTGATAATTGTAATGTTTCTTCATTTTTCATACTCCATTCATATGGTGAAAAACGTGAAACAAGAAAAAGTATTACACTAACACCAATATATGCAAATGTAATACACATCCAAATTTCTTTTGATAATGGTTCCATAAATGAAAAAACACCTTAAAACAGAAGAAATTAAAATTAAATAAAAATAAAAAAAAAAAAGATTTATATATAGATGTTTTTTTGTTGAACCTGGTTTACGTTTTTCTTGTTCACCAATTAATATACTTATACCAAGATTCATCCATGGTTTACTAAAATCTACTGCATTTTCTCGTTGACTTGTTATTGTTAATGGTGCAATAGCAAGATCAACTTCATGTCGAACTAATTCTCCAATCATTCCTGTCCATGGTTGATCATTAGCTGGTTTATTACCAAATGAATTATCTTTTACAATACGAAATTTACATGGAATTTCAAGTTTTTTTTCACATATTAAACGCGCTAAATCAACACAATAACCATTTAATTCATTAAATGTAAAATATTGACCAAGTGCATCGGATACAGTTAAATTTCCAACAACACTTCCATTTAACATTGCAAATGGTTCATCCTAAAAAACCAAAAAAAGGAAATTGTTTTTTTTTGTTTTCTTAATAAACATATGAAATATTAATATATACAAGAATTGTTGAAATGATTCGTTCTCTTCCTTTATCAAAATCATGTGCTTGACGACCTTCAACTACACTAAGATTATGTAAAGAAAATTCATCACGTGTAAAATTGCCAATCTTAAAAATTATTAAAACAAAAATAAAAAAAAAAAGTAATATTTTTAGTTTTTTTTTTAAATATTATTTTATTTTTTTTACATTTCTTGGTAATCTATTCATGGTTACTTGATATATATTTAAAGTATAATTAATACGTTCACCATATTCATTAAATGCTACATAACCAGAATATCCATCAAATGAAACCTAAAGAAAAAATTCTTTTGTGTGTGTGTGTGTTTTTTTATTGAATTTTACTGATTTCATAATATTGAACAATTCTTCACCGAATAATTTATGTTGTCGTCGATTTTCTTTTGTTCGACATTGAATTTTTAAATGATCAAAATTATCATCATCAGAATCAGAATAAACAATTTTCGAACGAATTCGATCATCTAACAACATTATTGCTCGCATATACATAGATAAAGCATCAGCTAATGCTTTCTTTTCAAACTATGCCGAAAAAAGAATTCAATTTTTAGATTTAGTCAAAATAAAAATTCATACTGATGGAAGAGATAATCGATCAGCGATTGATCCATCTAATGATTGATTTATTGTATAAGGTGATTTTGGTACAAAATAAGTGACATTTACACCACCATAACGAAAAGTACGCATATCAATTCGATCGGCGTCCTAAAATATAATTATACCATATTTCTTATTCATTTCATTGAACTTACAAGACTCATTAGTATGTAATGATAATGAGGTGTTGTCATTGCATGATGTCGAATCTAGATAAAATATAATCAAGTAAGAAAAAAAACAAAGTGTATGTAATCAATAATTCAACTATCTGGTGAATGTACTCATTTAGAGCAAATTCAAGAAGTTTTAATAGAGACAAGAGAGAGAAAGAGTAAGTCTAATATAACAGCTATTTTTTTCAAAGTTTTTGAATCAATTTTTTTTTTGAAAATAAATCTAGTTGGTGAATTGTTTACCATGAATTTTTAATAATCAAATATACATTCAGACCGATAATTGAAGATCTCACAAAACTACAAAAAATTCAAAATAGCTTGTTCTAATAATTACTAATCAGAAATATCATTTTTTTTGCTTTTGTTTTTTGATTAAAAACAGAATACTTTTTTGAATATTTCTTTTTAGAAAAAAAATTTAGATCACATTCATGATTCTTCATTTTTTCTTTCTAAAAGTGAAAATTGCAAATTTCTATCTTATTTCTATTTATAGTTATTTAAAAAAATATTCGAACATCTTTTTCCGTTGTCACAGACATTAGTTTTATCAAAACAAACATTTCTTTGTGAAAGGAGGAAGTTCATTAAGCGATGGAATCGATTCTATTACGAAATTGAATTTATCATTTTCCAGATAATCAATTCAGATGTCAGAAGTCAATTGTAGGTCGAATTAGACCGTTAGACGTCATTCTGGTTGCGTGCAACTGAGTCAAAACTCAATATTGTATATCTTTGATAGCTTCCTGTTTTTCTCGTGTCTTCAATTGATTTGATTTGAGTTATATATTAAATGAAAGCTTTTTCTCTTCTCTATCAATGACATATATGAATATGATGAAATATTATTCTTTTCCTATTTTCTTCATAGAACATTGTTCGTTCATACAACTACTATGAAAACAGCCATGGCTAAATGCTCCGTCTTTTGAACTATGATTTACTATGAATTATGTATTAATCGATAAGCTCTACAAAATGATACTATCACCGAGAGCTCAATTTGTGGGCATATATATATATATCAAAAAAATTCTTTCAACAACTTTTATTTTCGTCGAAATATATGCAGCTCTAGTTCTTCTCAGACTTCCATCAACAAGTATAAAATTCAAACTGACGTTTTGATTGACTTTAATTTTTCGATGTAATCCGAAGAGAGACTAGAGCTAAAATTTTACATGAAACTTGAAGTTATTGTAGAGTCTTTTGACTCAGTTTTTTCATGTTGATTATAAATATATGATTTATTTTTATAGGAAGCCTAGTTTTTTTAGAGCGAAATTTGTCAAGTATTAGTCAATAAGGGTAATTTTTTGGCACGCATGCATATTGTGTATTTGACTAACGTGTCTTGTCCTCATTCAACGTAATACTATCTTCTTGTAGAGTCTATCGAATGATATATATAATTCAAAGTTGATGATTACTTTCACAGCTCAATAAGAAGAGAATTTTACCATAGCTATTCTTATACTATTTATGCGAAAGAAAAACATCATCTGAAGCAAAAACGGAAAAGAACAATATTTTGTCCTACTCATGTAAAAGAAAGAGCTTTCATTTGGTATTAACTCAAACTAAATCAATGAAAGACAAGAGGAAAATTTTTGATAGAAACATTACACACTGTGAACCAATAAAGAACAGATAATATGGAGTTGTTGAATCAGTCGAACGCAGTTATAAGAACGTCGAACAGTAATTGACTTTTGACATCAGAATTAAGAAGACATAAACTCAATTTTAAGAGTGATCTAATGTCATCGTTTGACGACTTTCTCTTTTTTTTTTTTTAATTATAATATTAGTTGAAAAAATAGTGAAATATTCGAGAAATATTTCATAGTATGTTTACTATCATAACATATAAAAAGAAAGCTTCTTTAATATTTCTATATGTTATTGAAGTACTTCCGCTACTACTTTCGATATGTTCTTAATAGTTTTAATATATTTTGTTTTTCATAGTTCGCAATATTTGTCGATTGAACTCTTTGATTTTGAATAGAAAGTTTAGAAAAATAACTTTTACTGTTTATCGTAATGCAATGGATATAAATGATTTTAATCTTACTTGCATTAATAATTTAATATAACTATTGATATTATCCAAATCAAGTACAATATAAAGTTCTTCTTTTGAACCTCGATCTTTAATTTCAATACTTTGAAGTAAATTTTCTGTATAATTAGCATTTGTAATATCAATTAATTGACGACCTTGAATATCTAAAATATCATAACTTTTTTCTCGTGCTTGTGCAACTATTAATGTTTGAAAACGTTCAAATGCTTCATCGCCTTCCATAATATAAAATAATTTTGTTATTTTATAACGTTTTATAAATGCTACTAGAGCTGGTAAAAGATCTATTTTCATTGTTAAATGATAAATTTTATTTAATAAAGTTAAATCTTGTTTATTATAATTTAAATAATTTAAAGATATCATTGAAATATGTAAACGTGTCATAAATAATTCCAATAAATGTGTTTTAGAATTATCAATACTTGATATTGAACCAATTGCACCAGATTCAAGACGATTACAAACTAATTAAAAATAAATATTATTATTCTAGACATATTCTCAAATCAATTTTCTTACTTTGATGAATACTTGAATAGATATTTGAATCCTTAAAAAAGAAAAAAAAAAAAAAAAAGGAAATCTTCATGTTCATTCACTATGTAAGTTTCTCATTTGATACTTACGCTAA